CCAATAAAACAAAGGTGCAATTTCTAAATTTGATTCTAAATACAAGAATAATGAAGTAGTTAAATGAATTCTTTTACTTTTCTAGTTTGTTAGATATTAAATGAGCATTAGCGTATTACTAATTTTATATAAAAATTGTAAAATAAAAGTTCTTTTAGGTAAATGTTAGTTATAATTAAAAATATAAGAAGAGATGGATATTAGTGCATTAATAATTTGTCATTAAAAATATGTCAAAGTAAATATTTTTTAAGTAGTTCATTTTTTACAAAAACACTCCTTGTATAGTAATATAAATATAGATGTCCATATTATCAAGTTGAAATATAAGTAATTTCAAAGCAAAGTTCAGTTATGTGATATGATATGGAACTAATTGATTTCTTATTGCCTATAGGAATTAATTAATAATAATAGTAATAGACTTGAAGGTGCAACGCGTGTTTTGGTGGGCGCGTGGGGAAAGTGAAAGACCCTTACGGCAACGGGATCAGAAAACCAAATTCATATACAATGAGTATAAAATTACATATTTGACATTACAATAATGAACCTTACTGTATTATTATTATTATTATTATTAAGACTGTATTATTATTATTAAATTACAAAATTTATTTGATAAAGTAAGGTTAATTTAGGGAAAACATATTTTTACAGATTCATTGGCTCTTTTATAATAGTATAGATAGATATAGATAGATAGATAGATATCACAATTTTCACTTCAGTTATGATTTAAGCGTTATTTTATAAGTAAATTAAGTCACGGTTTTCATTTATTTCAAATTGTGCAACAAATTAAGAAATTAAAAATTACAACTTTTGTCGAACATAAAAACTAAAAATAAAAAAAACTACAAAATTAGCACTTATCGACTGTTTAAAGTATATTTTCCGCATACCACATCGTCAAATTCTAACTGAAATTATAGCGTGCACATTTGTCGTCTCAAATCCTAAAGTGCAACATCATAGACTTTATATATGCTGCTTAAAACTGTACATCTTCGATCCTCAATGGACTGAGTAGATTCTGACAGTACTTCAACATCGATTGATCGGTGTATTCATAATTGATTCGTATGACTTATATTTTTTGTATTGTATAATAGATAAGTTGAAATCATTTTCATATGCATTGTGCAAGTGATTAAAAAAAAATATTAATTGGCACAACATAATCTGAAACCTAAGTTAATCTCTCGATTTACAAAATTAGAAAGTTGTGCTTTAATTGCAAAAATTAAGTTGTGTTTAGAAAGTTATGCTTCAACCCATTATTTTACACATCAAGCTCCCCTCCAACTATTGTCCTGCTATTTATGAAAAGCACTGCTCCAAGGATCTTACTAGGAAGATGCTCCAGATAAGGCTTGATTGATATACATGAACAAAACTACACTAAGTGGGCACAAGTTTTTCGAATCACTTTTCACCAGCCATTCCAGAAGCAAACGAGAGCCTAATAATCGAGCGGCCATAAAAAGGACATGTTTAATGTCCTCAGTAAAGGAGCTCCTCAAAAACAGGATCCACAGATTGTCCCCATTTCCCATGGTACAGTTCGAGGAGCTTTTCAGCCGGTGTTACGCCTGCCATGAGTTAAATATTCGCACGAGACATATAAGGTGAGTAGGTTTTAAAAAGGCACCATTAGACAAGCACACGTTCTGGAAGAAAAAAAAAATAAAAATTAATCGTGGATCAATAAAAATTGGAGTGGTTCAACATGATATTCTGAAAGTTGTACCAAGTGATAAAAATAATTATAGAGGAAGTAAACAGATTACTTTCCACGATAGTCATTCAATTAAGCTGCATAGATGAGACCGATCTTTTTAAAGAAACCCGGAACGTGAAGTAAATATACAATCCGGCATTTTACTAGGAATACGCAATAAAAGTGGAAAGATTATTATTTAAAATATGATCTGAGAGTAGGGGAGGTTAAATCAGAAATCCTAGAAAAAAAATAATAAAAAAAAAAATAAACATTAAGGTATAATAAAGGTTGCCTTAATTGCTTACCTGAATTAACCACTTCTGTCACTTCATTTAGAAATCCAGTTTCCTTGAAGCCTCTTCTTTCCAGTCCATCCTATAAAAGGGAACGAAAATGAATACGCAGACAGGAAATAAAAATAGAAGATATTTCACACCCAATTACTGTCGCAATGATTTAAGCTCAGAGCTAGCAAACTGGCCTAATATAAGCAATATTAAGTCACCTTCGCAAATTTGACAACTTCTTGGGCAACATGTTTCAGCAGCCCATCGCGAAATGGCGTCTTCAAACCACTCTTTGGCACCTATTACATGATGCTGGATTTATAAGATGATTCATGGATCTAAAAGAAGAATTTACAAGTGCAGAAAAGTATTTCTAACACAGAAAAGGAAATGATGTCAAAGACATATTCGTAATTTATATTCTCTGGAAGAAACAGAACATTTATTTTTTTATGGGTTTTATTTCCTAACAGTTCGTCTCAGATTTCCAAATTCTATTTCGTAAGAGTGTCCCATTATTTTAGAAAATAAAACAGCAGTAGAAGAAGTATGGAGTATAGATAACATACCTGCAAACACTTTATTAAAAATTCATGATAAATGAATCAACGAGCACAGAGATAGATAATTTTACCAGTCGGGAGTTTTGTTATAAAGAAATCCAAATCAAAGCACAGGTCGCCAGATGGAACTTGTTACCTTATTCCTAAGCATCTGCCTTTCTTCAGTTGTCCAATCTGCTGTCAAGTCCAGAACATTTTGAAGAGAGACTTCATCATACAATAGACCGACCTGAACAAAATCATCTTAGTACTAGACCTTCATAATTCTACCAAAATCTCGTGATGCAACAAATCTAATGAAACACACACACACTAATATGAATCAATACTTGTGAGCCAGATAAATAAAATATCAAGTTACATTCCACATGAACTAAGAGAACATACCCAAAATGCAGGCAATGCACACAGCCTCCTCCAGGGCCCTCCATCAGCACCTCTCATCTCCAAGTATCTTTTAAGCCTAACCTGGAAAATGATAAGACCCGATATCATAAATAACATGAAGATGAATGGGTGTAATTTATCCAAGTAACCACAATACGTACCTCTGGGAATATGGTAGTCAGATGATTCTCCCAGTCATTGAGAGTAGGATATTCACCCGGAAGAGAAGGAAGTTTCCCAGCCATAAAATCCTTCACCAAATTCAGATAAAAACAATTATAGTCGACGTGACATAGCAAAAGATTGAATATTGAGGAAATTTTACAGAAGGGGAATCAAGTTTGATAAAAACCCGAAAGGACAGCCCAGCACAATCAATATATTTCTTCTTTCGATAGACGAAGTACATTGGAACATCCAAAGCATACTCAACGTACTGTTCAAACCTGTGCCAAAAAGACAAAGAAAGTAATTCTAAAGTGAGAAGTATCTTTAACCCAAATAGGGAGTGATTAATACCAACGGATTGAGAAATGATGAGGAAAATGAAACATGCTTGTTGCTTTGATTATATCAGCAGTGCAAAGAAGTAATGTGGCTCATTAACACCAACAGTTTCAACGTGCAGAGCATGGGAAACCCTTTTTAAATATGTACAAAGCAATATGAAAGAATACACAGCTAGCAGAAGGAAGAGTTACACCAGCACGAATCTGCTTAATCATTATGAACTTCCACATTGAAGTTCTTTTTCTCAACTTTACCTTGAATTTGGTAATGTAAGTGTTCTGGACCGGCAACAACCAATCATGATATCAAGTTGGGAAAAATAACTTCAACATTACAATTGAGAGTTGTTGGGGATAACTGGGGTAATATTTTAATGCTGCAATGGTTATGGATCAGGTACATTTGAATAGGTAATACTGGATTGTTAAGTAGAAACTTAAAATAGTACCAGAAGGAATATTCTGGTGTTTAGATGATTACTCAATGGTCGTGGTGATGAAGTAAAGCTCCAAAGATCACATGGTTATGGTGAATGTAGAAACTAACAAATCCTGACTCAAGCCAACCAGGTAAAGGACAAAACTCTGTATATGCAAAACATTTTTCAGTTTTCTGCAGCTAGATTAGTGAGGGTGGACTGAGGAAGGCTAAAGGAGTGTTCTTTTTTTGGGTAATTCAAAACTTTATGCGAACAATTCTAAACTGAAAAGAGAACTAATTTATTTGGGAAGCTAAAGTAGTTCAAGTGATTGTTAGTTTTTCTATCTGCTAAGAACAGTTAATTTGAGGAAGAACTTACCCGAAGGAGTCATCAAAGACAAATGGAAGCATCCCAGCACGGTTGTTATCAGTGTCTGTCCAGATTTGGCTGCGGAGGGAAATGAATTATTTACTTTATATCAATCGCTCAACAGCCTTGATCTTGACACTGTTTCAGACCAATATTTTTGGAAGGAAAAAGATGAAAAACTGAAGTGGCTCAATCATTTGAAGAGAAAATTACCTTCTCATACTGAGAAAACCATTTGGTTTCCCTTCAGTGAAAGGTGAATTTGCAAAGAGTGCCGTGGCTATCTGTTTAAGAGACTAGTTAGATTTGCACAACTAAGTAAGCGGCAGCTGAACATATGAACAACTTACAGGCTGTAAGGCCAGACCAGCCCGAAACTTCCGTATCATATCAGCTTCAGAATGAAAATCTAGATTCACCTGCATTGACAAAGTAGGGGGCTTATAGAAAATATAGTATTACTAGACAGGCCACAATGAGAAAACTCAGAATTCCTACCTGAACAGTACATGTTCGGAACATCATATCAAGTCCAAGAGTTCCAACTTTGGGCATGTAATTTTTCATAATTGCATATCTTCCCTGATCCAAATGCATAGAATTTCATCAGATCTCATATCGAATGCTTAAACTGTGGCCAGACTATTATTAACAAGACATCAAAATACCAAAAAACTAAACCATAGCAACTCGTCAATTCTGGAGACTGAAGCAGATCAATATTCCAGGAAATTACCAACTAAAAACTTGTCATATCAGTACCCAAGACGCGACATAGACACTTAAGAAGACGCTTAAAAATTTAATCAAGAGGAAACTCAAATCAAATTAGCATCATATTGTTTTTCATAAAATAATGCACATCATCAGAGTGTAAGTGTGTATAGATATCATATAAAGTAAAAGCTAACAAAATCAGAAACAACAAAAAAAGAACCCAATAAAATGATCTTGTTAAATTATAGTTTTGTGTAGAAAATGAGTTCTATGTTTCTGTAAAAGTGTTGGTGATATGCACCTATTTCATACTGAAGCCTCAATATAACATGCATCAAGTTGTCCAAATTTCACAGATTTTTGTGAGCTAACACAACAAATAAAATTTCTATTTTTGTCAACTTCATCGATTTTGTTGCCTCGTGAAGACTTCGACCATGTATATCAAACGAATCTGAAGCCATAAGAGATGCCCAAGTCCCACATATATTTATTCAATTATATGCCAAATTTAACTTACGTACACTGAAAAATAAGATGACACTCCCCACGAAAATTGGAAAATAATAGATTTTTAAGACATGAACTAACCCAACCAAGAGACCATAAGCTGGCAAATGGATATATAGCTGTGAAAGAACACATTTCATTGCACATGAGACAATGTGCTCTTCAGCTAAATAGAAGACCATCAAAATGCACACACACAATCTCTATGGAACTCTAAAATATATGCTGCCTCCAATTTAAGTGAAGCCAACATATCCATTTTGACATAGACATTACCTTGGGCATTACAGGTATGTCCTCACGTTTCCACTTGGGCTGAAAGCCGATTCCCAAAAACCCAATCCCCATCTCTTCTGCAACAGCCTTAACCTGAAGTATTTCATCAACAAAACTGTGAAGCTAACAAATGTCTGGATTTTGACATGCCTTCCTAGATTAAGTTGTCTCCATCTAAAATGCAACACACTTAACATCTTCAGGGGCACACACATGCGGAGAGTACATTCTGAAGCCTTTTTATTTTTGAAGTCAAAGAACCACTTCCGAATCGATTATACAGAAGATAGATTGAGACAAGCTGCAAATTGTACTGGAAGGAACAAAGGTGTAAGGAATAGGTAAACATGGTTTATACTTCTTATGGAAATCGAACATTCACAACACAAATCAAGCCAGCCTAAAATATTGTAGTCTAGGGCTGTCATTAAAGCTTGATTTCATGAAATTGAAGCATTCCTGAAATTTTCTGCTCAATCAATCTAATGGAAGTTTATCACTCACAACACAAATCAAACCAGACTAAAATTAATATAGTCTAGGGATGTCGTTAAAGCTTGATTTCATTAAATTGAAGCATTCCTGAAATTTTCCACTCAATCCAGCGAATATAGTCAATTGAATAAATGTTACTGGGTCTGTAAATTAATCATGACATCCCATGAAATCAAAGTCTACTACTTACCTGGTAAAGATGAGAATTCACTTCAGCACAAGTTTGATGCAGAGTTTCGAGAGGTGCACCACTAAGTTCAAACTGGCCCCCAGGCTCCAACGATATACTTTGTTTTCCCTGCCAATAGTAAGATATATTTTATAAATTGCAATAAGCCAAAAAAAAAAAGAGTCCAATTTCAACAACCCCAATGTAACAGCATGATTTGAGAAAGAGGAATATGCCATTTGAATCAGATTGGTTTTTAACTTAAATGCATCTCCAAAGGCCATAATAACATCTTTCAAAGATTAATATAGGAAGCATACTATAATATATTTACTTAGCAATAGTCTATGATCCCATCCTTATCATTTGAGCTGCATGGTATTAACAGAAAACATAGATATTTCACCACTCGTCAATGAAAAATAGTAGAAGAGATTGACATACTTGTTTGAGTCCAATAATGTATTCACCTTCCATTATTTTGTCCCAATCAAATCTCTCAGATATACCATTGAGAAGCTCTGCTATCTGATCATATTTCATGGGTCTTAATGTTCCAATTTCAAATCCAAACTTCTCATGTTCAGTGCCTATCCTGTATGAATAAAAGATTAGGATTACATTAACCATCAAAGTTCTAGTACATGAGCTATCCAACACATGCAAATGCAACAACTTAAAATTTTGTCTTTCCAAAAATTCTTCTTATGCATAATCTTGCAAATAATCCTTCACCAATATCAGCTAGAAGTTCAACCTCCATTTCTCCTTAGGCTTGCAACCAGAAGCAAGGTAACCTACAAGATCTTCTTTTGTGAGTGGCTCTGATGCAACAACAGCATCTTCTGTAGGAGGACTAGCAGCAACAATAACCTGATACCCTCGCCTCTGTTTCACCTCAACACCATCGAAACTCCAACCTTTTGTCAAGTTCAAGGAACTCCGTGTATGGGAGCGTAAACCGGAGGCAATTTCCTTATTCTTTGCTGACACCACCATGTTGGCAAAGCTATTAGCTCCAATATGTGTAGCTCTGCACTGTGTTGCCTCAGAAGGAATGCAGTGAGATGAAGTAGGATGGTACATCAACGCCATGCTTATGATCTGAAAAATAACCCATGCGAGTAATTAACCGCCACAAGCTGGAAAAAAATGTAGAATATCGTACTGCAATATCCAAACTGACCCACGTTTTAGACAATTTTCTGCAGTTGGAAATTCAATCAAACACACGTACAATAAGAACGTAGAATGTTGTACTGCACTGCAGAACCAGTTGTCCGCTGGATTAAATGCTCAATTATACAGCCTACAAAAGCACACATTTTTAAGCAACATCAATTTAGCAACCATGGTTTCAGACACAATGATCCAAATTGATGAAGGGCCATCAAAAAATAGGCTGTCGCAAAACCTCAGCTGCCCACAATACAGTACAAGTCGTAATTCTGCTCCTCAATAAACAAAATAATAAGTGACCGATGCAAAATCTCAAGACAATCATCACCAACATCAACATCAACATACCCAGTATATTCCCAACTGGTTGGGGTCTGGGAGGTCAGTTGTACGCAGACCTTACCCTTGTAATTATACAAGGAGGCTGTTTTCGTAGCGACCCAAGGTGCATTGCTGTCGTTTGATATATTTTTTTCTAGAATTCACTAATAGAAGAAGCACTATAATTTAATTGAGCCGTTTTGATCTAGTCCATTATTAGCACTATGCCAGGAGAATTGTCAACGATGACTCTTCCTGCTCCATTTGCAATGGACAAAGACAAACCCAAAGATTGCATTTGAATGCTTTCCAAATAGTTCAAGAAATTTAGAAAATAAATAAACAAATAAAATCCCTAAGCACAACATACGAGTTATCACAATCAAATTCAGTTTCAATGCCAAAAAGACAACAACTTAAAATCACCCGCCGGACTTGGGGCAGAACAAGAGCAAAAAAATGAAAGATAAACATTAATGCCTTTGAATGCCCTCCAAATAATTCGAATTTTGAAGGAAACAAAAA